ATATGGGCAGATTACATAGCAATAGAAATGTGTTTATTTAAGTACAACTAATATAGTTAGCTAGCTAGCCGTGTCATGTAGGCTAACCTACACAAACAGGATATAAGATACATACTTTAATTTCAGCTGCCTGAGAAATGAAACTTTTCTTCTCAGTGCCTAGAAGAGTAGGCACACAAAAGCGAAAGCACATAATAGATGCTTGGTGAACATTTGTTAAATAAACAAGCTTTTATGTTATCTTGATCAGCTTAGTGTCAAAAGTGGGAATTATTAGCATTCACCAAAATGGATGAATTTTATTTCTCTATAACACATGGAATTTATGATAGAATGTGTGTGTTACTCTGTATGTATACTTAGATGCCACTGATATTAGTTATATTTCTGATGTTCTGTTTAGCCGTTTACAGTGGTTGCTGTTGTTTTCTTCAAAAGTGTTGAAATAGAATTGTCTTCTTGTGAGAAGTCCTTTGAGCCTGACCTTATGAAGTGCTATAAGCTATATTTTACCTTAATATTGAGGCTGTCCAAAAGATGTATGTTTCAAAACTTCAAAGGAAACTGTATCTTGTGTAGTTAATGCAATCAGCCACAGCATAAAACACTTTTCTGAAGACTTGTAAAGGATCCAAACTTCAAATCTCAAGATTTGGCTGAAAGGGGCTAGAAGTAATTATCTGATAATATATACTTCCATTGTTTTCTCCTTTTTGTATCCAAAAAAATCATTTGAGAGTAAACATAGGGGAAAAGTTGCTTTAGCAAGTAATATACAGGAGAGGTAAAAATCCCAGGAACATCTAGAGAAAAAAAAGAAAAAAAAAAAATTGTTTGTTTCATGTCTTACACATTGTAGGCCAGAAAAAAAAAAAAAACAAAAAAAAAACCTTGCATTTTCATTCAAATTCACATCCACAAAGTCTTCTCTGAGTCAACCAAATTAAACTAAATCCACCAGCATGAGAAATTCAAGGACTGAGCAAAAGAATGTCTCATCATTAATAATAAGTTGGTACATAACCCAGAAGATCCTTCTTTCTTTCTTTTAAGTTCAAGATATGGCTGCTTCCCAGTTCTTGTCCCCATGGAAACAGGATGTGCTCGGTGTAACCAGCTGACGGAGACAAACAGCTTCGAGGCTGTGGCTACATCCCTGGGGCTGATTTCACTGTGAAGTTCTCCTGACTGCTGCACTATTAGTTCAGCTGTGATTCCCCCATTCTTTCCACAAATCGAGGTCTATGCAACAGTTTGAAGTTGCATTTGAGGACATCTCGAGTTTTTAATATTTGACATCTATTTGTTGTGTTTCCATTGCTTTCTTGTCTATTTCATGCATTCTTTAAACAACTTGTTTAATACATTGCTCATTTCTTCTTTTGAATATACATTTTTAGTTTTCTTTGGTCTTTATCAAATGTAAGTTTAGTCACTCCAGCTAGATTTTTAAGATCCACAGAGAGAAAAACTATTTAAGCCACTTACAAGGTTAGAACAGTGCTTAGTATACAATAAACACTATAGATTGCCTGATGGACAAATGACTCACTTTAGCGCTTTTATTCTCTGTAATATGTAGTTATACAGAGAATAACTGCTCATTTTTAGCCAGCAGAGATTTGGTGATACATTTGGTTTCCCTGTAGTGGAGTACTGTTGATGATCTTGACTTGCTGTTTATGCTCTTCATGGCTCACAAGTGATGTTGATTAAAGTCATCCCTAGATGGGCTGTGACATCAATTACTGACCCAAATCTCACAGCTAAACTGCAGGTTGGGCATCACCACTATCATTTGGAAACAGTTAACGTTGTATGGAGGCTGATGCTCTACACACATAGCTACATGGCGATGTGCAAACTTTCTCAAGAATTCACTTGTCTATTCCAGTTTGCTTCTTTGTTTGTGTATCTCAGAAAAGGGCATTGCCACAGCTGCTGGATTACGTAATGGCTCAAAAAAACCGTCTTCAAGGTCATTCAAACACATGACTATCTCTCTGGACCAGAACAAGAATTCCAACTTGCATTAAAAAGTCATCATAACAACCTAATTTACTCATAAATAGTCCTCGTGTGAATTACCTCTTCTCAAAAAGCATACTGAAGATATTTTCTTGCTTTTTTTTGTTTTTTGTTGTTTAATTTATGGCGTGTCTCATGCTATCTTTGAATGTTGAGATTATTCTCCAGGTATTAAGTTTAGATCTTATTGCTGAAATGAGACCAAGTGACATACAGTAAAATATTTGAAAGTCTGTTTTTAAAAAAAAAAAAAAAAATCTAGAGTTTTTTAATAAAATTATTTTGAATATGTTGACAATGCATATCTTAAAATCTTATATCTTATTTCATAAAATATAATCCGAGGGCTCCTTATACTTCCAGATATTCAATTAGTAATCATCAGTTTTTTAAAAATTATTCCATTTTACTATTCTAAGGTATCTTTAACATTTTGAAAATTTAATGAATGAAATTGTGGTTTTTAAAAGAGCTCAGAGACAACAGTTTCTTCCATGAGTGAATATATTATTAGTCTTGTACTTTTGAAATAAGAGAAGTCCTCTAGTACTGAACGTTCTGGCATATATTTCCTAGTACCATCGGTCCTTCTTAGAACATAATTGAGACACTGAGGAATTAACTCCTTCAAGACACAAGGAAGCCACTTCCCATCAGAGGTTCTGACTTTATTGTACTATCCTGTATAATCACATGAATTCATATGGCACCATTACTGAAGTATAATGAGATCGTTAACTCCTAAGCACGCAGTTTATTTTAGACTTTCAAAAATGCAGATTGACTTAAGATTAAGAAGTGATTGCAACCACATATTTGCAGCAAAAGCAGTTATGAGACGAGAGATGGGGAAAACAAATTGTACTATACTATTTAGCTCAAATTTCCTTACTCTCACCCCCACCTGGACAAAATGGCTCTTATAACATCCACTATCTATTAAAGCTTTTGCTTTTAAAACAAAATTAATATTCCTAAGAAATGCAAATATAAAAGGTGATAAGTCTTTTTTTTTTTTTCATTTCAAGTATGGATCTGATTTTAAGACCTTATTTTCAAATGGCTCTTTCAGTGCTTTTGTAGGTAGGAGCCAAGAATTAAGAACAACCCTCATCTTGTGTGTTAGATAATACCACAGAGAGTTTCTCTATCCTCAGCTTTAACTCCTGTCTACTGACTAGACCTATTTAAATTGCCTAACCTGTTTAATGAGCTCCAAAAATAAATGTATATTATAGAGAAAACCAAAGGACACCCACTATTTACAGAGAAATGACACGGAAAGGGCATTTCTTCAATATGTGACCTAAATAACCCAAATCAGATTTAATTCAATATGGGAATCTGGGATTACATCAGAGCTGTTATCTGGGTCTGCCAGTAACTGCAATAACATCTTTAAACAGTAGCACAATCTTGGATAGCCTCTGTCCTAACAAAAATGACTTCTCCACTAGGATAGAAATTAATTCACCCTTGCTCTCATTTTTATCACAAGGAGTTAAAATAAATTTTAAAAAATCAAATGCAGCTTCCTTGGACTGTTACTGCTAATTCTGAATTAAGAAATGAAACAGTTAGTAGTTATGTATTTCTGACAGTACTGAAAACAAATGCTCCTAATGATATCATTTTACATACAAACGTAACACATAGGCTGAGATGCACCTGGAGAGGCATCCCATAGAAGCTTCAGATTTTATTATTACAGATTCACTCTTTAAAAGTTCAAATAGGGCCTGGCATGGTGGCTCTCAGCATTTTGGGATGCCGAGGTGGGTGGATAATTTGAGTCCAGGAGTTTGAGACCGGCCTGGCCAACATGGCAAACCCCCCCTTTCTACTAAAATTACAAAATTAGCCATGTGTGGTGGTGCATGCCTGTAGTCCCAGCTACTCTGGTGGCTGAGGCACGAGAATCGCTTGAACCCCAGAAGTAGGGGTTGCAGTGAGCCAAGACTGTGCCACTGCGCTCCAACCTGGGCGACACAGCGAGACTCTGTTCAAAAAAAAAAAAATAATAATAATAATAATAAAATAATGCTGATGAGGAGACTCGACACCTGCCAAGACTCTAATGAAAGTGGGTTTATTCAGGTAATTTTTGACAGATGACGCAAAGCAGCAAGAGATAAAGAGTAACTTGGAAGGTATATTGAAAGAGGTAGTTGGATGGGAAACATGGCCAGAAAGGAGATGCCAGTGATGATTTCATAATGAACATGCTAGCCTAGGTCCAGCCATGGCTGTTCCTCCCACTCATTGCCACCCACTGAGGTTCCAGAATGTCCCTGAACTTGGTGATAAGAACAATGATGAGGGGAAGTAAAGTAAAAAAGAAGATTGATAATATTTTCTCTTCTGATACTGGACATGGTTAATACCCACATATATATATGAGATATATATATATGGGTATATATACCCACATATATATATGTGAGAAACAAAGACTCTTGAAGGCTCATTGTGTACAATGTCGCCCTTCTAGTAATGATGAACACTATGGGCTCCTGAGGTATTCTCAGCTCATGCACATTTAGCTGGAAGAGCTCAAATATTTCTAAAAAGCAACAAATCAGGCATTCTTTTGCATCATTTCCCTACTTCAAGATAGATTTTTCTTGATGTTGAGTGTTGAGTTTATGCTGAAGAATTTGATTCTTGCAAATTTATTTTTACAGTGCGAGGGATATTTTTGCTGACAATTCAACATTCAAAGGGATGAGTGTACGACGTCTCTAAGAGATGTCATGGAGTGCAGGTAGAAAGGACTTTTTAAGGAGGTAAGATCTAAAACAGGACAGTCACATTTAATTGATGAATTTTGTTATGATTGTCCAGAAGTAAAACAGAGAACCTGGAAGTGATTTGGGAGGAATATGTTAGTGTCAGAACATATGAGACCTTTTCTTTGTCTCCTTTTTTAAAAACTCTTTTTCATTCATGTGTTTCTTCTTTGTCTTTTTCAGAACTGCTTCTCAAATCACTAGTCACATCCTGGTAGAAGTCCAGCAATGAAGATGGCACAGAAACACATTCCAAATACTGTGATACCATAAAGTATACTGTAGCAATGCATCTGGCACACCCTCATTTTAACATCTGTCTCAGAAGATTTTGACAGAAGATAAAACTGTCTAGTTTTTATTTCATTGGTTTCATGAAAATTTATTTCACTGGTTTCATGTCACAGGCCCATGACTGTATAAAGAGTCATAATCTTTACAAACACAACAGTGACTCACAGAGACATGTTGCAAAGCTGTAATCCAAAACACTGATGTTAATTTCAGAGGCCATTAATGGTGTTAAGAAGGAGCTTTTGTTAACCAAATAATTGAATACTCATAATTACTTTTCAGTTCTAGTTCAGTTCTTCACACCAAACCATTTTCTTTACATAGTGAATGCAGAACTTGCCAATAAGAACTTTCAATACTAAACTTCTATGTAAAACAAAACATCTCAAAATCAATAACTACTTTAATGGAATAGTAAAGAATTTACTTAAACACAAAGGAATGAAAATATCTCTGCAAATATGTCTACTGACTTTTCAATTTTGGTGACTTCTTTCGAATTAATTCCTTTACCTCTGTTCCTCATCCACATAAAAATGACAAAAATGAAAGATAATTTTCTAGCCTATAATTAAATTTCTCTGTTGTTGGCATATAATATGTTTTTAATACATTTTTCAGTTGTCATAATTCATATGAGAATTATTAAAAGAGATTTAGTTGCCTTTGAGGACTGTATTTGGAACCTACTTCTTAAAAATTGTGTAAAAATAATTGTGGCTTTTGAGAGACAATTGGAAATTTGAACCTGATCACATATTTTGTGATATTAAGGAATTTTATTAATTAATTTCTAGGTGGGAGAATGACATGATTTTCTTAAAAGAATGTGTGAATTGTTTATTACATTTCAACATTGTCTTAATCATCAAACATTTGTTGACCTTCTGCTGTATCTAGAGCTCTGTGATCCAGATGAAGTATTTGATATTAAGCCATTACCAGGTGGTAGTTACTCTACCTCTGTTTGAAATTCATGCCCAGTTCATTTGATTGCTTTAAATCTGAGTTCATTCTTGAGCATGTGCCACCAAATTCCAAGCATTTTCAAATGGTGAATTACTTCTTACAAACTCAGTGGAGAGTATGTTTGCTGATCTGATGTAACCCACTTGAAGTGATGCGTTGTGTCAACCTTAATATCACCATCGAAGGATCCCTAGGGAATGCAGCATTTGGCTTATTTCATTGTTAACATCCGAATTTAGTTTATATCAAAGTAACATAACACATATAGTTTTAAAAAATCATATAGTATGAACAACAACTTGAAAGAAAAGCAATAGATCATTGCAGCTTGCCCTTCTCCCTCCCCAAGTACCTGAGCATCTGTCATTGTCCTCAAGCATAATGCCATCAGCAGCACATCTGTAATTGAATAAGCAGGACTCATTACCCATTTCAGTGAGGGAAAACTCACACCACAGAGAATCCAGGGGTGTCTCAGGTAAAGGATGTTAAAAGGGACTTATAACAGGATTTGGGCTTTGGTTGGGTGAACCGACGGAAGTTTCTCGCTCTGAATTGGATGCTGTCTAAAAGTGGTTATGATCTGTGATTGGCTATCTCAAGAAGTCTTATCTTTAGAGAGGGCGGACTAGAGTAATGCTAAAGATGCAATTGTTAAGAAACAGTCCTCATTCGTATTAGCTGAGAGAGAGGAATGTTTTGTATTTTGTGGCTTAAACAATGCTCATGTGTTTAGACATGATTGTAGAGTGATCTTCAATTTGTTTTGATCCATCATAGTAGATGATGTCATGTGATTTTTTTTTTTTTTTTAATGTTCAACAGAATGCTAACACCTACCTGTGAGTACCAGGACAGCTGATAGCAACCCCGGGGCTTTGCTGGTGGTGCCAGGCTAGCTCCTGGAAGTCAGGAGTTGCCTAGTTCCTTCCCATGCCTTTTCCCAGAGGCAATCACATTAAACTTTTTAGAAGTTTCTTCTGGCACTTACCTCCAGATTCCTAATAGTTTTTCTTTGTTTTTAAATGTTTGATTTATTTTTAAATATTTGACTTCCTGCTGTAGAAATAAGACTTTTTGCTCTCTTGTATCCACGCTGCTATATACATTCTCTATGTACATGCCTCCTATGCCCATCCTAATAATACACATATATCACAGTTTTTATTTTAAAGTAATTATGGACATCTTTATTATTGTGGCCATGTCAATATTATTCATAACAGAACTATGCGATACACTATAATTATATATCCTTTTCTTTACAATTTAGTTTTTGCTGGTTTTAATAATTGTCTTTCGTTTCTGTTGCTAAGTTATCAACAATTCTTTTCCTCAATTCTCTAATAGAATTGTAAAATTTCTCTTAAGATGTTGAAAACATCAGCTAATTTGTCAGTTCAATTTCTTCTGCTTGCAGACAGACTTCTGAAGCACTCAGGTGACTGCTGCAGTCTGGAATGGGGGCTTTCTAGGACCACAGCATCGCTTTTGCCCTGGACATCATTTAAAGCGTTTGATTTAGCTTTAAATCTCTCTTTTGCTGGATTTTCCAGTTCCTGACTCCTATGTCTGCGTTTTTCTTGTGTCATTCTGTTGCTTGTGATAGAGTTCATGTGAGTGGCTTCCCAAAAATGGGTACACGGGAGATAAATCGTTTGACATTTGCCTACCCGAAAATGCCCTTTCTTTCTCTGCACACCTGAATGATGTTTTGGCAGAAAAGGAATCCTGAATTGGAAAGAGGTTTCCCTCAGAATATTGAAATCACTTATTATTTGCTAGGTCTTAGTGTTGCTGTTGAGAAGTTCAGTAACTTTTGATTTAAATGTGACAGTTTTTTCCCTCTTTGGAGGCTACTGGAATGTTGATCCTTGGTGTGAATTTGATATGACTGGTTATGATTATTTTTTGCATATACTGTTCTGGGCTCTTTCTGTCTAGAATATCATATACTTTAATTCTGAGAAATATTTCTATATTATTTCCTTGATAATTTCATTCATTCTGTTTTCTCTTTCCAGAACTCATATTAGTGGGACCACTTGGATTTAACCTTTAATTTTCTTAACCTCCATTTTACCCCTATTGTCCATCTCTTTGTCTTTTTGTTTGACGTTTTGGGGAATTTACTCAACCGCTTTTTCTTTCCCATATTAAGAAAATTCTATTATCATAATTTAATTTTTGTGAGTCTTTTCTCATTGCCGTAATGCTCCCCTTTTAAAGAAAATATTTTCTTGACTTGTGAGTGCATTATTTTTTCTTATCCTAGACTCTGAACATGCTAATTATAGATTCATTTGATATTTTCTCTTCCCTGTAAACACAGGGAAGTTCTGTTTTTTTCCCCCCAAGTTCTTTAGTTGTGTTTGTTTACTTTAGTCTCTAGCTTTATATTAGAGGCTTTTTCAAATGCCCGACCTCCTTGGTTGTTATTCCACTTAAAGTGAGGCATGAAGAGCCTAGTTTGGAATCTTTATATGATGTGGAGCTTCACTGTGGATGATCTGAGGGGGGCAGAGCAGGCTTTTGGGGTTGGAAATAGGGAGAGGGACACTGAAAGTTTCACTGTCAGTAGGTTTTTCTCATGGAGTGTTCAGTTACTCTGTGGAGGAAACTTTGCGTTTTCTGCCTGGGAGGTTATGCTTCCCAGCCTGTGTTCTTGGAGTTGAGCAGAAGAATAGAGCGGGATCTCATAGTTTAACGTTGTAGAATTTCACTTAACCTCATTGTCAGCATAGCACCCCCTCCAGCTCTCTGCTCTGCTGAGCTTTGCTGCCCCCATTTATTCATAGAGGAAGTCTCTAGCTTCTGATGGGTGGGAGAGAGACTGTTGCCTGGCTCTTTGGGGCAGAAGAGAGGAATCTAGGAATCTACCTGCTCTCCAAACAGAGTTTCAACAAAAGCACCTGTTTACCGCCCTAAGTTCACCTTTATTTTCAGAGGTCCTAACTGTCTCCAATTCCAGAAACTGCTGAGATTCTGTGACAAGAACTCACCTATTTTCCACTGTCTGGGTGCTTAGGTTTCAGCTCTGTTTGGTTATTTACTACTTGCCTATCTGCTTTTAGTCTTCCAGGAGTTCATTGACATCTTTTGTCTATTATTACCCATTTTCTTTATCTTTTGGGATTTGTATATTGTTTTATCCTTTTCAGGGCATCTCACTAGAAATTAGATATGGAATATATATCTAATCTACTTTGTTTAATCAGAAGTGTTAGCAGCTTTGATTTTTACCTCTTGGTCTTTGAAAACATTTTAAAATTGATAAGCACATTAAAAATTTGAATGTATAATTTATATTTTACTAGTCCAAAAGTTACTAAAGAGAACAAAAACACAACAAAAATAAAACAATTTATTTTCCTTCTCCATCCACTCATCATCCAAATGCATGAGTTTATCTTAAACAGATAAAAGTTGACCAGACATTCAATATGAATGTTCAAAAGGGGAACAATTATTCTGGACTGTAAGTACCAAAGTCTCTGATGTAGGCAACTACAGAAATTCAATGAAAATAAAATCACATTATAGAACTAATAACATTGACTCATAATACTTCAGGCATGCATAACTCTTTTGCTTACATCTGACCTACCCGCCACTACCCACTATAAATGCCATGAAAAATAGCACTCTTCATTATGCTTTAAAACTTTATTGTCTTCACTTCCTTTGAAATTAATAGCCTGTCATTGATAGCCCTATTGCATATTTTTATTTCTTTAGGTAGTAAACAGGAACTATCCTACTATTTGAATTTTATTTCTAATCCACTTGAATACTTTTAATGTTAAGAAAAACTATTGTCTTTTGACCACATAATGGTATGAATTCAAGACTGCAAACTAACGTCAATGGAAGCACTGAATTCTCAGTAAGAAAGTAAAAGGAGTCATAATAATTAGTAGCTACAATGAAGATGATAATCAAATGTTAAAACCATTCAGATGAATTTCTGCAGTGAACTTCTGTAGGTGTCTTGACTGCAAATGTCTGTTCTTTCTGTGGTTAGTGACATCAATTAATGGAAAACAAGGTGCAGGAACATGCCGATGCATGTTTTAACAAGTAAATGCAGCGTGGCCTGTGGTAGGTCTCACTTTGCAAATATTATGTGTTCCTAAGAAGCCAAACAGAGAACAAGTTTAAACTTGAGGATAGCAAATGTGAATGAAACAAAGAGAATGTCTGGGTTTGTTTTTTCTCCCTGAGAAAGGATTTTCCCACATATCTAGAAATAAATGTAGATTGCTGAAGTGATCAGGCAGCATTTCATGATCAGTTTTATTCAATACTTAAAATGTGCCTGGTAAATTCTCCATTAATCTACTTCCAGGGATTCATGTACCACTTATTTACTGATGACATTCAAATATACCAATATTATTCTAATTTTTCAACTTCAAACACATTCTAAGGAATTTTTCTGAGTTACCTCAAACTCAACAAATCTAAAATTAAACAAATTTTCTACCCATCAAACCCAATGTCCCTCTTAAATTCCTTAATAGTTTTATAGTCTATGTAATCACCTAAATTAAATATTTTAGTCATATTCTAATACTAAGCATAGTTCTTAGTATATTTATTTCTCAAATAAATAAATGGATGCATTTTCAGTGCTTTCTAGTCCTCTTCCTATAATCTGATGGTTTGGTAAGTTTAGTAAGTTCTATCCACTATACTTCGAAACCCCTCTCATGCCATCCCCTTCTTTCATCTGCTCTATTGCTGTTTTAGTACAGACCTTCAAGCTTCCTAACTCTTATATCTCTGTTGTCTAATACAGCTGCATCTCTGCAGCACAGATT